GACCCACCGTGACCCACCCTGTCACACCTGACCATGCTGACCCGCCCTGCCCCTCCGTGACCCGCCGTGACCCGTCCTGACCCCGCCCCTGACACTCCCAAAGCTGATGACCTGCTGAGATCCAGGGGCAGGAAGCAGAACCCGTGATCCAACAGCGCCGGCTGGGCGTGAGTCCGAAACGTGCGCGTTGTTGGTCCCAACCAGTATAGATAGGTCAGACGACAATGGTCAGGTAGGAAAAACCTGACATGGGCGCGCGTGGGTTGAGTGATTGGTGCCTTCGACTATCACGTTGGCTGGATTTAGGTTCAAATCTCTGTTGCGTCACAGCGCCAGACGCTCGCATGTTGGGTCCGGTTCAGATCTCGGTTATGCCATGTCCCCTTAGCGCTAATAAGACTTCTACAGTCACTGACTCGCCCTGACCCATCCCGACCCACCTGCCCCGTCCTGTCCCGCCCGGCCCTGCCCTGCCCCGCCCCGGCTCTCTCTGACTCGTCCCCTGCCTTGCCCTGACTGCCCTGCCCCTGTCCCTGCCCTGTAAAAGGTTGCCAGACGACGTGCGTCGGTTCCTCCTTTCTTTAAAAGGGCAGCCGTATGTAATGCAGCGTGGCGCCTGGTATAAAACATGTGAGGTACTTGCTCAACAGCCCTCGGCAGGTTTGCTATGGCTAAAACGATTCAAGGCCAAAAATATCGACATGCAGAAACCAAACTAGCTATATAACGGATTCATACCTGGAGGTCCACGTAGCGAGCCCTGCTGATGACTCAGCACCAAGCCATCCAAATGCATCCGAGGGTAAATGTCGAGGCATTGTAGCACTGGGATTGGGCTGGCTTTAGGGTAAATAGATCGCGACATTATGCAGACAGGGAGCTGCCAGCTGCCAGACAGCACCGTAGCTGATCTGATCTTAAGTGGTGTCTGACTTGATCTGATGTGGCTGATCTGATCCGATGTGGTGTCTGATCTGATCTGATGTGGTTGCCGATCTGATGTGATGTCTGACCTGATCTGGTGTGGTGTCTGACCTGATCTGATGTGGTGTTTGACCTAATCCGATTTGGTGTCTGACCTGATCTGATGTCGTGTCTGACCTGATATCATGTGGTGTATGCTCAGATTTCTGGTCCCATGCCAGTCCCGGCTGAGTTGAACTCATTGAGGAACATTGTAGCAAAGCTGGCTGGTTGTAGCGTCATAGAAGATAGCAGACTTTTAAACTGCTGGGATCATTCACCGGCTGGAGATAACTTTATAATGGCGTCTTGCGATAGACGGCTAAAAGATATCTGCTAAACTGCTAGTTTTTATTTTTTTAGTTCAGTTAAGTAAAAAAGACTGCTAAAAGATAAAAGATAAGAGTGTAAAGCCTGTGTGTATGCATTTTCCGCAGAGAAAAACACGGATGTTGTCGACTCGGGATGCTGCGACCCGCCTACCTCTCATGCAAGAGTTGTCTCGAATTATAAAAGAAATTCCACCGCATGATACACAGAGACCAAAACAGTCCACTCACTTTCCGAGCGCTCGGCAAACGAAGCGCGCCCACGCGACGTATATCAACAGTGCTTTGGCCCAGTTATGCAAGGGATCGATCACGGCAGCCCGCGTTACGTGCCTGCCCGGGTGTCTGTGGTGGGTGGTGGGGTCGTTTTCACTCCCCGGGCGTCGTGCTGTGGCGTGACGATCTTGGTTTTTGTGACGACCAAAAACCCCTCAGCTGAGAGATAATGAAATTCTGAAAGTGCGCAAAACATTCCTCGCGTCCAGTTCGACCGAAGGCCAGTGGATCTCTGAACTGAGGACCTGAGAAGAGTACCTACAATTGATGGAGTTAATGAGCTTGCAGGCTATTTTTAAGTATTGATCAAACGCCCGACACCAGAAACGCTGACACTTTAATTAATTTTACGGCCATGGAAGTAGCCTAAATCTGTCATCGTCCAGTAAAGCTAGGCAGCTCTCAGGCCACCCTTGCATGTGGTGTTAGGTTTAAAACACGATAGGCACTCGTGGCAAATCTGGACCACAAGGTGCTTCGAGTGTGCTCACATTGAGGTCTCCGAAGCACATCGTGGGTCAGGATGTAGGGCAGCCATTTCCCGCTGGCGTAAGATTGTTATACGACACGCTATTCTGGCATCAGGGTGCGTAGTTAATGCACGGATCCGATTATGTATCTGGCTATATCAGCTGTCTTTTAACGTGGCTTAATGCGTGAAATATACAGCACATCATCCGACTTACTAGACGCATGTTCATAAATGACGATCATTTTAGTTACGATCCCCCTCGGTTGAACACTCCAGAGGTTCAGATGACTAGCCAGAACGAGCAGAAGCTAGAGCCTTACACAGTGTCGTCAGAGCGGTTGAACGAGTCTCAGATTGCACTGATACAGCACCAGTTATTCGCAGGCTGATACGGAGGCTGACTCTGTTTGGATTACCCGGCTGCATAGTGGCCTATTGTTGCGAGGCTGATCAAAGTGGCTCGTAACTAACTGTCCTAATAACTTTCCTCTATTTGCGTCTCAGTGCAGCGATAGGTGGTACTTTACTGTGACGCATTCACTCACATTCCCGATGCCTTACCATGGTGTGGAGGATGGGGCAACAGAGTGGTGGGCGACGGGACACGCCTGAAAATCGGCGATCCGCCGCCGGCGTCTCACAAATGTTCGACGTTAACCCGTGGTGGTTGCAAGGGCAGGCTCGACACTGAGCTGGGGTCGATCCCCTCTCTGTTTGTGGCGTTCCTGTGTCCCTGATTGGCCAGCCCGTCCGTTCATTTCTTGAGAGGTGGTACGCTTAAGTAGCGGAGAAGTAGTGCGCTAAATACATTAAGATCTTTCAAATGACCAATAACTTTTTCTCTTATGAATAGGTTTGGAATTGTTCTGAACATCGTTCTTGTCGTTGTTCTCGTTAATGTTCTTCAGTACTTGGAGGTGTTGTCGAACTTCTCTTAAATGCTGGGATGATCAGGACGGGAGTTTTAAGGTAAGACTAGCATATTCGGCGATTGCTTGACATTTCTGAAGATTTCCCTCTCGGAAAGCATGCGAAATGGAGCTCACATATGTTTTAGGAAATGTATTTTACGCGACGCTCTGTGGTCACGAAGATGGGATGCTCATTTGTTGAATGAGCTCTCTCAACTGTTGGTAAGCTTTCCTTCGCTGCATTCGTACTTATTCATTTATAAAGAGCGCATCTTTGCACAATACAGCGCGCTGTGAAATGAGACGAAGCATTTGTCATAAGTTTTCCAAATGGGATATACAGACTGAGATGTCCTAGATGTAGGGAGCAGGTAGAGCAGTGGTTAAGCTACGCGTCTGGGAAACCACGGGTGCGGGGGTCGATTCCTCGTGGTGCCTATCTTTCCTGCCAGGATGGGAGACAGGCGATGCCTTATAGCCTTTGCAGCTGAGTGCGTCGTAAAACCCCCAAACCCACCCCCTAATGTACCCAACGGGTGTATGTACTCGAAACATCACATGCTAACTAAACCATCATGTAGTAATACCTGTTCCGAACGTTTGCGGTGAGTTCATACGAGGCACGTAAGGCCAATGCATTGACCCGTACAGCCTCAGGCCGGAGTAAACGACCTTTTGACCTCGAGACACCATGACTAGCCGCGGCTTGGAATGCATGCCGTCCACTTTGAATGTGAATAACGAGGACGGCGGGAAAACAAGTGCGGGGAACGAGGTTCCAACAAAGCGGCAGGAACTCAACAGAGCTATGGCGGAGGTCGATGCCCCGGATGCTCACTCCCCCTCCCCCCCCCCCCCATCCCGAATTTACATCGGGTCTTCGGCGACAGTGGCAGTGGCTTGACAATGCTGAAACTGCTTTAATGAATGCCTACCTGTTCTTACGGATCCTGGGATACTCACGACTGATGTATGGCACGCAGTGGCGTTGACGCTGCTGCATAATTTGGTGACTTAATTAGATATGTGCCGTGCTTAATAACAGTCACGATGTCTGAAGGCTGGCTCGCAACGATCATGTAAGACGAAGATTCTCCAAGTTTTGTCTAACCACGATGTTCTACGATCTGGTCTGTGACAGCTTTTCGCGTTCCATTGGATTGCAAGCCTTTTTGTTGTGGTACGCTACAATTTAAAGTTATGCCACCTTGTCACGCAAAAACTTCCGTTGCGAAGTCCTTCCATGTCCGTACTTCATAATGTGTGTACCATTCTGCTAGTTTGCTGTATTGCAACAACGATCCCACATAGCTCAGCGTAAGCGCAACGCACCATACCCGTAACTACACGAAATGTAATGTTCTAAAGCAGCGAGCTTACGAGACGGCCCAGTCGCAGCGCCGCATGCGTGCCTCCGTTATATTGCCCGGCTCCGTGCCATTCTGAGCCATCCGTTACACTAGTTCCGTAGGCTTCTGATGACCATTGATTCATTGATCCATGAATCACCATTGGCGCGGCGGAACAGCCCGTCTTTAAAGGGCCGCTGGACCGTGCAGGCCGGACGGAACCCAAGAATGCCCTACCCATCAACCGCGCTTGGGGTTTTAACAGCCGCGACCTCCTGCGTGTCCGGGAACAACGAATGCTAATCAGGCAGAAAACTGACTGGCTTTCATCGTACAGAGTGTACGAGAAACCACGTTCTTGAGAAAGTCTATCGTGACTTTGTGTGGGAGGAGTCGGCGACCACGCGTCACGAACTGCTACGTGCGTGGTCTTCGCTGCCTGCGTGACCGAGGGTTTGATCACACAGATAAACAGCGCATTTGCTTTCGTTTACACCTCCCACCAACGCGTGGGCAGATAAATTATCCTATTTCTGCTTTTATAGAACCACGATGGGACATTATAGTTCTGCCCAAATGCTTGAATTATCCGAAAATCTCAAATTGGGTTTTGAAGTGCACTTGCAACTCATGTGATGGTTCTGCATGCGGCAAGTGAATGTATCAGTGTTAACGGCAGCTCCCTTGTGTTCCAGGCAACAGAGAGCCGACGGAGACAAGACTGCGACTCGAGCCCTCATCACACTCTGTTAACGTCCCTGGGAAACTTGTCTTCGCGGCTCACCGCATCGCCAACCGACCCTGACTCGAACCATGACCAGCTCGTGACTCCCATGACCAGCTCGTGACTCTCACGACAGGCCCGTGACTCGCGAGCGACTCGGTGATCGTCTTCTGCCTGGATGGGGTTCGGTCGCGAGAGACAGTGGCGGCCCGGGCGCCGCTGGGCCGCGCCGGAGGTCGGCGAGCCGCTGGCCGACTCGCCGCCGCCGCCGCCGGAAGTGGCGTCAATGTGCGGCTACGTGTCATCGAGAGATCGAGGCGTCACCCAGCGGACCGACCGGCTGCCTCGATCGAGGCGCGAGCACGGCGGTGGGACTCGACGTGTGACGGACCCACGCGGGTCGGACGCGCCACCCGCAACCCTCAACCAGTGCCAAAGTCTTGCGGTGTCGAAGCCGTTGAACACGTGCTGCCACCTGTGGACGACACTTGCGTTAGTGTTCGCGGTGCTAGTGGCGCCAGTGTGCTCCAACGTGCCGCCTCGATTTGTGCTGGATGGTCAGAGTGAGATCGTACTGAGACTGAGGGAGGGATCACAGACGCCCGTTGGTGAGTACTTACCCCATTTCTCTTAGTATTTACTCCCTTACTACTTACTTACTTCCAACTGGCGTTAGGAGTGAGTCCTGAAGGGTCAGTCTCCATTTCGTGCATGACGCTGCTCAAAAGCGAGACATGAAGGCCAGCCAATGTTATCTTTATGTACATGCATGAAGCTCTTGTTCGCATATCAGTGGTAATGAAGCTGCTCCAGAAGCGAAGCATGGCCTTGCTCAGCACGTTTGGTATTCATAACGGTTGGAATACACGGCTGCCAGATTTCGCACCGGCCACGCCAACTTCCCTCAATCTGAGCAAACTGTTGAATGCTCAGCAGCTTTGCAGCAAAAAGCTTCGTCAGTTTTCGCCCGCCCACGCTTGTATCACAAAATTATCCATTGTGATGGAATGACAAATCTCACAAATGCTCATTTATCCAGTTTTGCGTTACATGCTGTATTAATGCTCAACCTAGGAGATGCTGTATAAGTCAACCACTCCAGCTTTTCACACAACTCCATCTAAATTGTATTACAATTCCAGCAGATCATTCCCAGAACACATCACACAATAGTGACTGAGCAACACCACGCTACGATACACGCCTGATGTTCCACAAAACACAGCCTGATGCCGCCACCTTAAACTCCAATCAGACGTCCCATCACCTGCTTGACCCGGCTGCGCCCCCTCAGGCAGCGTCATCTACCGGCTGCGGGGTTATGACCCGGACGGCGACCGGCTGCGGTTCGCCGTGCGAGGTCAGGTCGGGTCGCGGCTGCTGGAGATCCGCCCTGTCAGCGACACCGAGGCGGACCTGGTGCTCCGGCGAGCTCTCGACCGCGAGGTCAGCACAGAGGGTCACACGGCCGGCTGTGTCGGGTCACGTCTCGAGGTCACCCGAGGTCACCCGGCATGCCAGCTGCTGTGTCGGAACGTGTGTATGACAGATGCGTATGTCAGGTGTCGGTCCGTTCCGTCCGCAATTCTGTATGCGTGTCTGCGCACGCTTCTGCGCGGGATTGTTGTGCTGGCGCTCCTGTATCGTGTCTTTGTGTCGTCTCTCGCGTCCCTGTACTCTATATCATTGCCCGCATTTTTTCTGCATACATCCGCATCTTATTTGCAGTTTATAGACTTTGCGTCGTGTGTGGTGTTTCTTCGTTCTACAACATGTACACGAATGCAATGCAAACACACACACACACACACACACACCACACACACACACACACACACACACACACACACACACACACACACACACACACACACACCACACACACACACACACACACACACACACACACACACACACACACACACACACACACAGAGGGAGAGAGAGAACGAGAGAGAGAGAGAGAGAGAGAGAGAGAGAGAGAGAGAGAGAGAGAGAGAGAGAGAGAGAGAGAGAGAGAGAGAGAGATATATATATATATATATATATCATATATATATATATATATATATGTGTGTGTGTGGGGTGTGTGTGTGTGTGTGTGTGGTGTGTGTGTGTGTGTGTGTGTGTGTGTGTGTGTGTGTGCGTGTGTGTGTGTGTCCATTTTTTCCTATTTTACAGCCATACTGCCAACCACTACCCAGCCTTCAAGCAACGCCTCTGTCCCCGCCCCTCCTCTCCGTGCCCCTCTCTCCACTCCGTCGGTGCGTGCGTGAGGTCCGCGATTTCTCGGGACTCGCCATGACGCGCCGCTGACCCTGCCGTGCGTTACAGCGTGGTGAGACCGTGCCCGTGCCACGACCGTGTAGTGACCGTGTAGTGAACGCACCACTGACCGCGCCATTGATCGTGCCAATCCCTGTGGCATTGGATGTAGCTGTTAGCCTAGTCACACTAAGCCGCTGACGGCACCTGTGACCGTGCCGACTGTAGCATTGGTTGTGCCAACGACCTTGACCTTGACCGACCTTGACCGTGCCCGCGACCAGGACGATGCCTGCAAGCGTTCAAGGTTTATTTTCGTCCCCTCGCTTGTTCCCGTGCCAATAACCATGTCAACGATTGCAGCAGTTTCCGTTCCCGTTCCCGTCACCGTTACTGTTCCATCTCCAGCTTGTGTGCCCGTCCCGGCTCCTGTGTCAGCTCCCGTGCCCGCTGCTTTGTCAGCTCACGCGCCCGCTCCTGTATCAGCTCACGCGCCCGCTCCTGTGCCAGCTCCTGTGCCAGCTCCCGCGCCCGCTCCTGTACCAGCCCCCGCGCCCGCTCCTGTGCCCGCTCCTGTGCCAGCTCCCGTGCCAGCTCCCGTGTCCGTTGCTGTGCCAGAACCGGCGCCAGTTCTCGTGCCCGTGCCCGTGCCCGTGCCCGTGCCCGTGAGCCTGAGCTCGGCCGCGTGTCCGCCAGCTGGAGGACGAGTACAGCGTGGTGCTGACGCTGACGGACGGGCGGCTGGGCGAGGCCGTCGTCACGCAGTCTCTGCTCGTGCTCGTCGAGGACGTCAACGACAACAGCCCGCTCTTCCTGCCGCACGAGCCGACGCTGACCGTAGCCGAGGATGCCGCGCCGCGCGTGCTCGCCGTCCTCCAGGCTACCGATCGGGACGAGGGTCCGTTTGGTCAGGTCAGTGACGGTCCGTTCAGGCGGGCCGGTGCGGGGGATGTGGGTCCGTTCGGCCAGGGTACTACAGGAACCAGGGTCCGTTCGGCCAGGTCAGTGACGGTCCGTTCAGGCAGGCCGGTGCGGGGATGTGGGTTCGCTCGGCCAGATCACTACAGGGACGAGGGTTCGTTCGGCCAGATCAGTGGGAGGACAAGGGCCTTCTCAGTCAGGTCAGTGTAGTAGAGGTCCACTTGGCCTGGTGACTGTAGGAGTGAAGGCCGTTTGGTCAGGAATGTGTTGGGTGCAAGCTTCGAACACGCATGACGTTTGGTGCTGCATAATACGGGAAATGAGGCAGTGGTACAGTGTTCGGCAGTTTGAGTTGTGACAACAACAAAATTTGGAATCGAGTAACTTTAGGATATTGCTATAACCAAGCATGCAAATGCATGTTGACAATGTAAAACCACGGATAAATATACAGAACATCACGAACCAGTCGGGCAACGACTCCGACATCATAAAGATGTTCTGTGACGTAATCAAACTATGACGTATTGATGAACATGTTTACTGAATAGTGAAATTTTATTGGCTTTAGTAGTCTTTTACATTTCAAAGGAAGCCAATAGCTACAAGTGAACTTATTTCGTCATATCTGGCGCCTGCCTCAAGATCTCCATCCTTGGAACATTCCCTTTAAGCAAGCTTACTGCCAACCCACACATCTCTCCATCCTCCTGGGAGAGTAAAGCTCCGTCCTCGTTCGTTCACGCAACAGCTCAAAGGAAGTCAACGCCATCAACCTGCCAGTACCATACCCACTAACGACATCTGTTGGTGTGCCGTGCAGGTCGTGTATCGACTGGTGACCGAGTCAAGCACCGATAGTGAGCTGTTCTCGGTGAGCACCCAGGAGGGACGGGCTGTGCTGAGGCTGGAGGGTGCACTCGACTACGAGCGTCAGCCCTTCTACCAGCTGCAAGTGCTGGCAGTGGATAGGGCGGCAATCAACGCTCACACAGGTCAGCGGCAGATGGCAGCACTTTGTAAACTGTGTCCAGATCTCGCACGATGATGGTGATATTTGACTGGCTTCCACACATCCGAATGAGTAGGGTTTTTAAATCTTCTTCTTCCTCATTGGCTTGCTTGTTCAAAATGCTTGCAACGCCGCCAATCGACAGACCGTCAACGGTACGTCAATCCTAGTCTGTCGGAAGTCAGCTGCGGTCGTCAGCCACGGGCCAACCTAATGGCGTCCTGACCAGAGCCCTGCCCGAACGCCCGGACAAAACCCCAACAGAGCGCTCGTGTGGAGGGGGGGGGGGGCATGGCTCGGCGGCGGCTGTCTTCTACATCGCCACAGACCACCCACTGCTCTACTTAATCCCTTAGCCCTAAAATAGCCATTTGTGAACGAATGTACTTTAATCCAGTCCATTACATACGCGATGTTATAAAGACCGATTCGTTCCTTCTCTTGGACCCTATTAGAAATCCTCACGTCACCCTGGATAATGGAGGAACCCAACCTTACTGACTGTCTCTCTCCGCTGACCATTAGCACGGCAGCCTGTGACCAGAAGCTTAGCAAGGGGCTTTGCCAGCTTTCCTGCACCCCAGACAGGTCTATGTGAGGCCTCTTTCCTCTCGTGTCGCTCGTGCGACGTGTCGTCTGACGTGTATCCGCGACCTTGGCATTACTCCAGGCTCTTGTATGTGAATGAACTTTTTATTTGACCTTGCTCCTTTCGGGTGGTAAGTGCCATTTATTGCTTTGACCGGGAGCCCAGCAATGTTAACCTGTCATTGTGTTCTGCTTTGGGCGTTTCTTGCGATGCCAGCAATGTACGTACGTGTAGGACGTGTTTCGTGTACTATGTGTTGTACATGTTTCGTGTTACGTGTACGTGTGGTAAGTACGTGTTTCGTGTTACGTGTACGTGTGGTAAGTACGTGTTTCACTTGACGATGAGCACGCCAAGTGGCATTGTTCATTTCGGATCATGTAAGTTGCTTTGTTTAACAAAACCTTTAACATGTGATGTCAACCCTGACGTATGGCAGTAACCACTTCACATGACCTTGACCCCTGCGCTTGTCTCCGACCTGCAGCCACGGCGGCGGTAGTGGTGCGAGTGGAGGATGTTGCCGATAGTCCGCCAGAGTTCGTGGTGGTGCCGCCCGTCACACGCATTCCAGAAGATCTTCCAGTGAAATCCCAGGTCATGCAAGGTCAGTATCGCTGTGTTTATGACATCATGAGGGATGTGCAAGGGAAAACAGTGGGGGGGGGGGGGGGGTGGAAAAAAGAGTTTAAAAAAATGTTATGATTGGTTTGTTCCATATTTGATTTGATTTTGATTTGATTTGATCTCTTCAATAAAAGAATCCCATAAAAGTATGGCTAAAATATGCCCGTCTATTCTACGAATGCTGACATGTTGTATCCATCGGTCATTGGTGTATGTTATTGAATTTAGAGTCAGTATGGTCCTTCGTCAAACTGGACTAGTGATGAAGTATGGGAACGGATTTTGAAATATTCTGGAAGTGGTGGCAAAATATGGAACCACCTTTTGTAGAATGTGCACTCCAATTTCGTTTACTCATGTCTGGTGTTTTTGATGATCATAAGTCCTGCTTATGCCATCAGACACCCCACCTCCCCAACCCCCCCCCCCCCCCCCAACCCCGGACGACCCATACAGTTGCTGAACATATTGAACATCGAATAGAGGTGAACTCGATCAATGTAGATTTCCCCTGTCATTTAGGCACATGCCTGATATATCCTTACGCGTGTATGTTGGGTCAGCTCTGACTGTTCTCACTGGTTCCCAGTGATGGCCATCGATGGAGACCGAGGAGTGAACGCGCCAATAGAGTACGCCCTGTTCGGCGGCGGCGACAGCTTCGAGATCGACGCCGCTAGTGGCGCCGTCTATGTGGCGGGCGAGCTGGACCGGGAGAAGCGCATCGAGACCAATGGCGCCTTCATCCTCACCATCGGGGTGAGTTTCACAGCCTGCGTATGAACACAAGCTTTTGAAGAAGTTGTGTACCTATGCGTCACTTGGGCACATATTGAAAAAAATGTGGCTTATACAAAATATATGCAGTCTCCGCAGGCAGATCAGTCCATGGTGGAGTCAAGCCTTGCCCTCCCCCCAATTTTTTTTTAAAGTGCCTCGTGCCAAACTCAGAATACTTGCCGGACCTCCTTTCGTAATCATGTGTCATGTTACGGATGCAAGGAGAACACGGGGGTATCTATCAGTATCTGCAGTATCTATGCTACCCATGATTTTTTTTTGTATGTACCGATCAACCAAAGTCATTGACTTCCCCTAATTGCGATGTGATGGCGGTTGACTGTTCGGAAGCACCGGAGTTTTTGTAGCACTTAATTGCTAACAAGTTAAAAAGCATGATAGAAATATATTTTCACTGTGTGCCCCTTACAGGCCTGAGCCTTTGACTGTGCCTCCATCGAACTCTCACCAATCCTTACTCCTTCTGACCCCTGTGCCTCACTCTCACTCCCCCGGGCCTCGCATTGGCTACACTCTGCCTCACCTTGACTCCCCTCTGCCTCACCCTGACTCCGCCTCTGCGACAGGCGCGCGAGGCCGGCTCTGACGCAGAGCACGTGACCACGGAGGCCACCGTCATCCTGACTGACGTCAACGACGAGCGGCCCACCTTCCGCAGCGCCACCTATACGGCCGAGGTCAGCGAGTCGGCGCAACGCCATCTACCGGTGACCCTGCTCGGCCCGGCCCGGCCCCAGGTGTACGACTACGACCAGGTGAGCCGGCGGCGGCACAGCGGGGCGGCAGGGCTAAAGAAAAATGTTTCCCGCGTCTGCTACAGCAGCTGCTGCCAGGACACTGGCCGCTGACTCCGGTGTGACAAGTTGGATGCTGCGATTTTCCTTCCAGATTCGTTTTGGTGGGAGTGATGTGCTGCATTATTCGTTCGAATCGCGTCTTGTTGCTCATTTGGGGCGGGAGATGAGCGTGGTTGAGCATGCTCGTTATCCGGTTGGATGAAAAGCGCCTTTTCTTCCCCCGCTTGCATTCGTATCTCACATTATTCGGAGCGCCTCCGCACCATTTAAAGACATGAGACATGTCTGCGACTTTTGTTAACACGTGCCCGGGTGACCGGCTGAATACCATTCACCCGAGTGGGGGTCAGTTTGCCCCCCACCCCGAGATCTCAGAAACTATGATAGCTAGGGGCACCAAATTCTCAGCGTAGTTTGATCTGTACATGGGCTTACTTTGTAAGAAGTTTGACGTTCCCATATTGTTACCCTGGTAGCAATAAGGCCAAACTAGGGCAAACTACATATTTGTGTTTCAAGTGTCCCCAGACATTCTCATGCAGCCACTGTGAAGTTAGATACCTGTCTTAAGCAAAAGATCAATGAGGTAAGAAATCCATTTTTACCTCTATACGATTAGGGTGGCAAAATATCTACGAGAATACGTCTATTCTGTCATTTGAATAGTCGTCTGGGCTTATGCTAGGCGGTATGCTCCTAAAAACAGAACGCTGACCTCGGTCATTTTAGGTCAGTGACCTACTCTGACCTTAAAAGGAATGGAACATCTCTGCTGCCGTCCCTGTCGTCAATTAATTCAAAATGAGCACCAGAAACTACTCAAAAGACAAGCACTCGAATAAAAAGCAGGTCAGCTTTGACCTCGTTTTGACCTTTAAATCTACCCATAGGCCAGTGGCACTGGTCGTAGTTCTCAGGCCAATTGGTTTGTGGCCCAATAAACTCTCTCAGACATGTGTGGCTTCGTCTAGCACTCCATTCGATGACGCCACTCCCAGTCGAGAATCAGACCCAGACCAATATGGGCCCCATGTCAGTTCTCCTCAGGGAAGTGCTCATCGCCACCAGCTGGGCTATCGCGCTGCTTTCCTCAGGGCACCAACGGCACGTTCCGGATGTACTTGGAGGGTGACGGCGGTATCTTCGAGGTCACGCCGCCCGAGGGCGTAAATGAAGCGACCTTTCTCATCCGCGTGCGTGACCCCGCCGGGCTCGACTTCGAGAAGGTCAAAGGTCAGTGCTGTCGAGGGGTAAATGGGGGATCTTTGGCCCATGAATGTCTGTGGGTTATCGTACGGTATTCGTGCGACGTGTCTTTGGCCGATGCTTGATGGTGTGCTTCAGAAAGCTTCAGCATTTAAATTTACTGCGCTGCACCCAGTGTGTAGTGTGTAAACTCAGTGTGTGAAGCGAGTGTGAAGCCAAGACCGATAGCGATAAGCGATGTCGTAAGACACCTATCCGGCAAACATCAGACCCTTTGAAACAATGCGGCGACACCAATGAGATAAACTGATGCAAGTGCAAAGGCGGCGACCCACCGGCGGACCACCGATCAAGTGTAGACGAAACATTCCGTGTCTTGGCTTGAGGCAAGCGAAATTGACTCAAACGCAGCACTGGCCAGCCTATAGTATGTAGTGGACTATAGCACGTACACGCCCCAAGCTAGGAAAACCTGCAGACTTTTTCTCCGGTTGTGAACTGCACTGCGTGAGTGTATTCCTTTGCCATGTTCTTTTTCCGCTTTGCTGATCAAAGTCTAGCGTCAAGTCAGGCGCTAACATCATCGTCATAGCATCATCATCATCAGCAGCATCATCATCGTCATAGCAACATCGCAGCGGGCGTGCCTGTCAGACCGCCTCCCCCTCTGACCGCGCTCGGCACCGATGTCTGTCTCCCTCGACAGAGCTCAACTTCAGCGTTGTGGCCGAGGAGGTGACCGCGGTCGGGGGCCAGTCATCTCGAGCCCACGTCACGCTGTATGTGCGGGACGCCAACGACAACGTGCCAGAGTTCGCCGAGACGCGCTACGTGGTGAGTTCAACGCGAGCGTTGTGACCTTGATGTGACCTTTACCTCTGCAAGCTGGTGACATCGGTACGGGGTAGCATCGAGTAGTGTTGAAGCAGGTTTGTTGCACTCGAAGCTCTGCGATTAGCCTTAAATTGCACCGGAATTTGCATTTCGTGGTAAATCGCTCTCATATTAACGGCATCGACTATCACGGCCAATATTCTCCTCACTGATGCAGCTGCTCACTTCCTGCAACAGAGACCCGTGATGTGGTAGCGATATGCTTTCTTTAGCGGATGTTCCCGCGCATGCGTAAACGGTGCAGAGTTCATCATATTGTTGAGCATTTCTGATCTTCACGAAACGTCCTTCTTGTTGTTCCGTCTATACCCTGCCGCGTATCCGTATCTGCCTTATTGATCTGACCCGAGGCCCCGACTTGACCCGCCGCCTTCCCGCAGGCCTCCGTGCCGGAAAACGTGCGGCGGGGGACGCTGGTTGCGTGGATGCAGGCCCTGGACCCGGACTCTGGCGCGTTCGGAACGGACGGTGTCCGGTTCACCGGTCTGACGGGAGACATCGCCCAGCAGTGAGTGGACCCCGTCAGCAGCACGACGTCCAGCACGCGTGCGTCACTGAGACAAGAGTCGGCTGGAAGCATGTGCACAGCTCCGTTCAGCTATTTCTCGGAGATGCCGGCCGAATGTCCGTGGACAGATCCCGCTTCAGGTACTCGCTGTAGTTTCTGAGAACTTTCCGTAGCCTTTGACGTCCACACCAGTCTGTAGCTGTTCGTCATCAGTCCGAATGACTCTGACCAGAGTCACTGAGTCATGTTCCGTAAGCCGCGGCCGTCATCCCACTCCATGGCTCATATGCTGCCTGCAGTCTGCGGCTGGACCCCGTGACGGGCAAGATCACCATGGCAACGGACGACCACGGCCTTGACCGTGAGACGACGCCGCGTCACCAGCTGACGGTGGAGGCGCGCGACGACGACGGCCGGGGCAACAGGTCAGCCGCCGGCGCGTGACCTGAGTGACCTTGACCCTGGTAGTATTACAGATGGGATCAATGCTCAGGCTCTCGGCCTCGTCTGGTGCGTTAGTATGCACCACTAGCACTGCGTCCATATTAACACGGCAGGCACGATAATTGTCCAAACGATTACCCTTTCCGCGACCTTGACCTTTGAACGGGGTCTGGGGGGCAGAGGAAGGCGTCTTTCTACTGTCCGTCTGCTCCGGGTATGAATGGTGGCCAGCGTGGTCTGCAGTGCTCTGTTTCCTCAACAGAGCTCTGTGCGTAATCCAGCACATTAGCTCCGAGATAATCTGGGTGTCAACGCATGCGAACTCAGGAGGGGACCCAAGAACAGAGCAGCAGCCATTACGCTAGCCCAGACTTGTCTCCAGTATGTGCTGTGCCGAAATGCTGAAAAAAAGCTGCACGACAAGCCTGCCGGGAGAGCTTCTTCAGCAGCATTCAGCTTCCGTCAGCACCTCCAAACTTGTCTAATCTCCGCACGTGAGGGCATGTCGTGGCCGCCCCCTCTCAAACCGGCCCCGGTCGCGGCCACAGGAACCGCGTGCCTCTGGAGCTGGTGGTGACGGACGTCAACGACCGCGCCCCGCGCTGCCTGCGCCCGCTGTACCAGCTGACCGTGCCCGAGAACAGCCGGCGCCTGCCGCCGGCGCACCTGCTGGAGGCGGCCGATGATGACCAGCCCGGTAGGGTCCCAGCTGCCGCGGCGTTTGGCGAGCGGACGAGGCTCAGAGTTGCTGTTTTAGTTTATTTTGTTTTATTTTGAGCGTAAGTGCTGGCTTGTTTTGATTCTAAGTGTACCAGCAGTTTTTATTTTGAGCCTAAGTATCGGTCAGTTATCGATCAAAGCAGCTATGTTTACTGGGCCACAGCTACATTGTCAGGACATATTAGCATTACAAGAGCAAAGCTTTGACCTCCAGAGCGTGTAAGAAGGTTGATTAGGACTATTGCGTACATGCTCCCAAAACGGCATTTGACTGTAATACGTGTCATCCGGGTTCTCATTCGAATAAATGTTGAACAACGATGATATCTCCACCTGGCGGCGTTGGGGGAAGAGCATTGCAGTTAAAACAATTGGAACTGGATAAACCTGCATATAGTTTCGACCTTTCCGTGATAAAGGTAAACTATTTTATGTTTCTTGGAAAGGGCTTCATTTCAAACGTTCTCAACTGCAGTCACTGGCATATGATGATTTATGATATCCATGGTTGGTATTCCAGATCCATTCCCTGCGAGCCCAGTTGGAAGTAAGCCGCGAGCCAGCTTTTAATAGTATGTTGAGGGAGCCACCTACTTGCTCTCTGTTGGCGCCGTCCCCGGCCTTAACACGCTACCCTCGCCACAGGCACCCCGAACGCGGAGGTCGGCTTTCGCATCCTGGCGGGCGACCCGCAGAGAAACTTCAGTATAGATGGCAGCACCGGCGAACTGCACCTACAGCGCCCTCTAGACTTCGAGGCCATGTACGGCGACGGAGACACCCGCACCATCAACCTCACCATCCAGGTCTTCGACAAAGGTATGGGGCACAGCACGCGTGATGCCTAAAACGCCGTGATTATTTCTGTCCTGTTTCAGGATCCCCGCAGTAGGCCGGGCCCCAGCACGCGCTGCTGGCGCCTCAACGCCGTGTCGACGCCTATTCGTGTTGTGTGGTGTGGGTGCTCTATGGAGATTACACCTACTGCCGGGGCGGATATTTGTTGAAATTCATCACCACGCTCCTCGCCTGGCGTTTTTTGGCGCCGGGTGTAAACACTATTTCTTCTGTTTATATCGGACGGGATTAGTCCGCTAAGTTCTTTCAGGGGCTGAGCAAGCAGAATCGCCCAGACCTCTGTCAAAGCTGGAGCCAAAGCTGGAATCTCAGAGGTGGCGAAGCGGAAGGGACTGCGATTCTCACATGAACTGTGCCCTGGCACGCGTAAAGAATGCCGAGAAGAGTTGGTGCGGCGGGGCTGCTAGTACAAATAACACTGGAGGAGGGGGGGGGGGGGCTGAGCCCCTGTGCTGACTTGAGCCCCTCAGTGCTTTTCTGAGAACCCCGTTGTATGTATATGGGCACTAAGGGAATGCTGGTCCAAGGAAATGCAGCAAGCGTCAAAACTGCTGGCACGCTAGGTGCTGAATCTGTATCGGTGTCAATATCATCACGGGTTCGAACTGAACGTTACTCATGAAGATAAATACAATTTTGGAGCAGACCAACACATGTTTGTATTTTAACGTCTGGAACGCAAATCAAAGCAGCTGAAATTTCTGGGGAGAAATCAGGGGTTAAGGGTAGGCTAGTTCAACTGCATTGGCTCAGTCTGCCAACCGACTGTAGAAACGACCCTTGCTTCTTTTACAAAATGTTCAAACTAGGCCAGTTAGGGTCCTAATTCACATCAGCCACACTGCATTCGACACCAGCGCTATTGTGGAAGGACAGACGTTATCGTGTCCATGTGCATCAGGGGTCGTGCCCACGTCCATGTTCATTTTCATGTCCATGGTCCTGTCCATGCCCAGGGTCGTGTTCATGTCCAAGGTCATGTCCATGTCCGTGGTCGCGTCCATGTCCCTGGTCGTGGCTATGTAGGTAGTCGTGTCCATGGCTATAGAAACAAACGTGATCGTGCCCATGTGCAGCGTAGTGTCCACAGGTGGTACCTGGCCGCGGCAAACGAAACGATTCTGACTAGTGTGCAAAATGTCAAGAATTTGCATGGAAAGGTGCATCTATCACGAGCGCTTTCGGAATACAGCTTAATAGTGTTGTCATGTCATTATATGTTGTCATATAATTATATGTTATCATAATTACAGTCTTTCGATCTTGGACAAAATTTTCTACTGATTTCGGTTTCCCTCGGGGCTGTGCCAAAGCCATTTTTGTCTTCACTGCACCTGCCGCTATGGCGATTTTAAGCACCGCAACACAAATAGTCGCCTTTGCGTACTGCCGGGCGCGCTTGTCCGGGTCTGATTAGTTCCCGTGTTGGCCGCCAGGGGAGCCGCCGCTCTCTTCCACCTGTCTGGTGCAGGTGCTGGTGCAGGACGTCAACGACGTGGCTCCGAGGTTCGAGCGGGCTGTCTACGTCAAGGCTGTGTCGGAAGACGCGCCTGGCGGCACCCACGTCATTCAGGTCAGCGTCGAGGCAGATGTCATGTGGACCAGTTGGGGAACCACTCAGACCAGTTGGACAATTGCTCAGGTCATAGCGTGAACTGGTTCAGCCACGGCTGGAGTAAATGCCATTCACTGAATGATATAACTCAGTAGTGGCTCGGTGCTTCAGTCCGTACGGTGGTCACACCTCAGATGGACCGTTTTTATTTTCTCTGTTTTGTTTTACTCACAGAACCAAAAAATACACATCGTATGTTTATATTTGTAACTTATACCGATTTGTATCGCCTGTTGGGCTTGCAGCTGGTCACAATTTAGCTCCGGCGTTTGTTTCATGATTACCAATGAAGCTTTATAAAACCTTTATCATGTTGGAAAAATGCATATGGCCGTGTTTTCTTGTATTTACTTGTAATGACATGTGCGAATTCACAATAATAGTAATTGTATTACTAAAATTATAAATGACCTAGCCTTGTAACTTTGTGTTTGGTTACATATGTCAATACATCCCGTACGTTTGTCAGGGGCTGTAGCTCAAGTGGTAGAGCGCTCGCTTAGCATGTGAGAGGTACGGGGATCGATACCCCGCAGCTCCAAGCTTTTCGCTCGCAAGAACGGTCTTCTCTTCGACCTTTTGGGCATTCGCTATTGATACTTGGTTTGGACGACTCTGGAAACACATGCGACTACGATGCCTGCTTTCTCACATACGTCCATCAGCCTCTTTTTTTCCTATGGACGGAACGAATAATGGATATAGGAACACACGGATGTTGACACGATTCAAACGTGCATATGATCTGGCACCAACTGGAAGAACACAGCCGGCAACCACAACCGAACCAGCAAAGTAGGTTCAGTTGTGGTTTATGACCACCTTTCGAATTCATTGCCTTGCCATAATTAATAAACGCTTCCTTGAGTACTTGAAGTGCAATTGCTGGAGGGCCGGAGATCATCTGAGTTTTTATGGGAGATGAGTTTTTTATCTGAGTTTATGGAGGACAGCCATTGCGGACAACAAAAGAGAAAAACCGATCATTGGTCGCTTTCTTGGCCGTTAATAGCCCGGTTGTCGGTCGGATATCGCTGTGCTCGCTTTAGCATCGCGGCTATTGCTTCGTAGTCGGCACATGCACCAACTTGGTACTTGGTTTCATGTCTCCATCTTTTGTGGTCGCTGGGATCAGACCTAACTTCTGTATTATACGTTCAAAGCTCTTACGTTAAGTTCACGACATGCAAGAGACCAGGAGGCACTGGCTACTAGCCATAACCTCATTTGAAACGACGTCATAGTGTGAAACAACGACTGTGTCGGGGCTACTCGATGGGATGAGTACAGCTCGAAATAGGGAATTGAGTACCGCTGAGCAAATCGCTCTTGACACCATAGAGTGGTAAACCGAGAGTCTACTGGTTTACTGAAGGTCTATAACTCAGTACAGAAGCTTTAAGGAAAACTAGTAGCTGAAGGTCTTTCCTTCTGATATCAATTTAAGTCCTTTAAAATTCCAGGACCGGTCCATTAAAGCTTTGTGCTATCGTGCTGTCGTAACAGGCTGCTCGCATCAGCCCAGAAATGAGACGGTGATTTTTTTCTATTCTCTCTTCGTCAAGCAGAATTAGTCTCGTATACTTGTAGCCTGGGTTGCCAAATCAGAACAAAATTTCTACCCAAGTCCATCATTTTTTTTATTATTTGTTTTGACAGCTGTCTCTGATCTTTGATCTTTCTCCTTGGCCCTTGCCTTGTTATCCTGCCCGATGGCCTTGGCCTTACATCTGTAAGCATCTGACCTTCGCATGCAGGTGTTTGCAAATAACCTTGACTTGTGACCTTGAGCCCACAGGTGACAGTGTGACATCTTGACCTGTGGTCTTGACCCTGAAGGTACTAGGACGTAATTTTAATCTGTGTCTTAATCCCGCCCTATGAGCTCGCGATTTTGACCTGTGACCTTGACCCCGCAGGTGTCGGCACGTGACGGAGACGGCTCGTACCAGAACAGTCGCGTCGTGTACCGTATCCAGCATGGAGCCCAGGACAAGTTCGTCATCAACTCCACCACTGGCGTCATCACCGTCGCTCAGGTCTGGACGCTCATGTGGAAGGAAAAGGGCAAATGCCCTGCACCAAACTTTCGAGATAGAACAGCTACGTCTCAAGGAGCAAAATTGGCTGCTTAGTTGTAACCAATCAACATAGATGTTGAGCTGTTCGCTTCATGCTTAAAACGCTTCGTGCCCTTCGGAAAAGCGAGTTGACAGATAAGTCGAAGCGTGAGTGCGTGAGTGCGTTTTTAATCCCCCTCGATGAAGTTTTGTGTCGTTTATAGCCCTCCATGGGGGGTTTGTGTCGTTTGGGGAGTGTGTTTCCCGCCCATTTGGCTACCCCTTTGCGACCATTGGTGAGATCTGACGCTAACAACTCGTCAAAGGGAGTGTTCCACATTTAGATGGGGTTTTAAACTGAAATAGCCACTTTGAAGACCTTTCGGTGCTGTCTACAATCCTGTTTTTCTCAAGACCTAAGCCTTTTTGGTTTCTGAGCTACACAACCGCAAAAGAATGGAGAAGGTATATCGGGGAGAGTAGTTGAAGGTCACCCTGGCATTCATGACGTCATGATAACGTTATTCAAAGCCTGTCACTCCATAAGCCATGCAGCGATCAAGGCCAACAAGAAAAATTACAATTCTCGAGGCATTTATAGCTGGTGTTCGTGAGCGCACTTTCCAGATATAACGTCCGTCAATTGGCTCCCAATCAATGTTATGCAAGATACGATCACTCAATCAAACCATGGCGCATTGAGGAACATGTTAACTGAACAGAGAATCGTGTTGTCTAGAGCAGTCTTTTCCATCTAAAAGGTATACGGATAGGCATCAGTGCACTTGTCTCATGATATCTCATGATTGCTTCAATATCTTTAAATGTGAAACATTCCATTTTTAAACACGTTAGAACCAGCCGGACATGCCCACTACGCGCTCTCGGAACTTTTTTCTCCATGTACCTACCTACATCCCATTTACATACTGAGTTCTAAGAGGTCCTCATCACGGCCATCACCTACACGCATCTGTCTACAGCCACCAGCGCCGCTGCTGAGCCCTCGCCCGCGGTGAGAACGGATATAGCTTCTCAATCTGTGGTTTCTCCCCACATTACCATTCATGACATCGATATCGACTACGGATCACCAGGCTATCTGCTGTGCGGTGCGTGAGGGTGAGTCGCGGTGACCGTTTCGCAGGGGGCCAACCTGGACCCGGACTTGAGTCGCCCCCGGGCGGCCCACTTCGAGCTTACGGTGGCGGCGCTAGATGGCGGAATCGGCGCCAACCAACTGGTAGATGTCGCCACCGTCAACATTACCATCCAGGATGTCAATAACAAGCTACCTGCGTGAGTAAACGATGGGTTAGAACTGTATTATATCGCCTTCTGTCTTTTGACCCAGCTTCGGGCGTTAACATGTCGCTTATGGGATAAAGAGGGGTTGCCGTGAACTACCCCGCCCAATATGGGATCCGCAATGCGCAGGGGCCTGCTTGACGTTCTTTTGCAAGTAGTATGTGAGCCGTTGTGATCACGGTGATTACATTATCACTGACTAGAATGACAACAACCATGGGCTTTGATGACGTGCAACAAAACCTAGTGACTGCATTATTCCTGCTTCCCATCGTCGCGTGCTTTTTAAATGCGTGGCGCCCAGGCGTTCACGTCTCAGATGTGTGTTTCCGTGTGCACGGCACAGTCTTCCTCATTCTGTCAATAGTTCTACTAACCGCCATTTCAGTCAGTTTTCCTGGTACAATGTCTTCCAGCCTTTTTTCAGTCCATCTTCCTTGTTCTATCTCGTCCAGCCAAGGTTCAGTCTGACCCGCTCGGTTAACCTCGCCCAGCCGTGCTTCGCTCTGTCTCCGCGGCGCCGTCGTCCCCAGCCGCGGCTCAGTGCGCCCCTCTCACCTACCGGCGTCTGTGCTTCAGGTTCGTGGAGCCGGGCCTGGTAGCGATCCCGGAGAACCTTCGCGTCGGCTCCGTCGTCCGCCGGGTGGCGGCCGTCGACATGGACGCCATCCCTCTCCTGCGATACAGGTGCGCTGACTTGCAGGGGCGGAGTCAGCATACGATCTCGGGGCGGTGATCTGCAGGGGCAGAGTCAGCATACGATCTCGGGGCGGTGGTTCGGTGCAGGGGCGGAGTCA